CAAAAGCCAGAGCATGGCGCATCGTGGGGATGCTCGCCGCTGGTCCGGCACTGATGGCGATGCCGGGGGGGGATCCATCCCCATGGCACTTACGTGGTCTGCATAAGCTCAGGGTTGGGGACACACTGCAGGCGGTGGGAGAGGAGCTGGAAGGCGCTGCTCTGGGGCAGCAGCATCAGCAGGCCATAGAGAGCTTTGATCAGGTAGGGGTTGTTCTTCACATCCAGCAGCTGCAGGCGGAGATCTGGAAGAGGAGAGGAAGAGGATGGGGAGGCAGGTAAAAAGCATTTTGCCTTCAGCCCCAATAGAAGGTTCCTTCCAACCTGTCTGGTGGTCCTGGGGAGGCTGTAAGCCTCTGCCAGCTGACCTGAGGGGCACCTGCAGCCTCTCCCCTTGCATTAACTCATCAATCTTCGTGTCCCACACAGGTCAGAAGTCCCTCTCCTCGCTGCAACCCCCAGCTGCCAGCTAGGGAAGGGGTCAGCAGCTCCCCAGTCTCCCATCCCTGCTGCTGCTCATCCCCGAGGCTGTCTATGCTGTCTGCCTGAGGACACGTGCAACACTAGATTGCTCCTCAGCTTCTGCAGTATTAGCAGAAATATCCCCCAAGAGCACCACACATCAGGAGCGCTGAGTGAAACCCTCACAGGGACCCTCTGGAGCAGAAGGGATCCTCTCTGCTTGGCCCTGATGGTCACATGTGTTGGGCCTTGCCATTGCTCAGCAGAAGGGAAACCACCCTCCTGCTCCACCCCTTGCGGTGCTCATGGGTGGAAGTGTCTTCTGGAGCCCTACGGACAACTGAGGTCCCACCTGGGGCAGCCCAGGGGATGGGGTGAGAGGTCCATGCCCCAGCATCTCACCTCCTGACTGCCACTAGCACCTCTGGTGTCTCCCAGCAACGGGAGTCATGCCCAGGTATACCTCTGTCCCCTAACCTGAGACTTGGACATTAAGGTGAGTGGGGTGGGGAACCCTCAAGGAACAATCTGGGGCTGTGGAAAACCACCACAGACACATGGGTGCCTCACACAGTGGGAAAGTCATCCTCAGGATGAGGCACAGGGTACCACGGGATGGAGCATGGACAAGGGTCAGCCCACGACTCCATTGCCCAGCTGCTCTAACCCTCTTTCCCCCAACTATTCTCCAGCCCTGGAGTGATATAGGTCCCACCCAAGTCCTTTCCAGGACATTTCCCAACATCCTCAATGCCTAGCCCCACCTCCAGGGAGGAGCCTAGGGGCAGCCGAATGTGATCATGAGACATCCCCTTGCAGCCACAGGTCACCCTGCCACATCACCCCTGACATCCTGGCTCCCACCACCACACCCCCGAGCCCCTGGCCAGGCCCTGGCTGTGTTACCCAACAGGGGGACCCACACTGCCAGGGCTAGGGGGTCAGATCTGGAGAGAGAAGCAGTTCTGTTTTTTTAGGGCTGGCGCCTCAGCAGCACCCATGACACCACCTCGTGTCTCCAAGGGTGGCACACATGGCTCTGACATCCTACCTGCACCCCCCCGGAAATGCTCAGTGTGCTCCAGACCCACCCCCACCCCCCACCCCCTTCCCTTTGTTTGGTGCCAGCGCCTCTTGCTCCCTTAACCTATATCTGGGAGGCAAGCAGCAACCCCCGTGCTGCCAGCAAGCCCGGCCCCGGCAGGCAGCTCCAGTGCTGGGCAAACCTCCTGGCAAGAAGTCTCATAACTTCTGCTCTATTTATTCGTGCTGCGGCTGCCGCTCATGATGGAGGAGCAGGGAGGGAGATGTGGCCGGGGTGGGGGGCCCCCACGCGCCGCCCCTTCCCCATGCAGGGTTTCCTCCTTACATGTGAATATGGGGCACTCAATGAGCTGCACCAGCTTGTCCACCTCGGTGAGGAAATCCACGGTGACCTCCAGATCCCCGCTGGACGTGGTGGTTAAGGATGTTTCCTTGGAAAAGGGTGGCCCGGCAGCAGCAGATGGCATGCCTGGGTGATGCCTGGCGTGGACTGTGGCTCTGCCAAACCCCCCCTGCATCCACAGCTCCCGTGGGAAGCGAGCAGGCAGGGAATGGACAGGGCTTGCATGCAGGCAGGTCTGAAATGTTCACAGGGCAGCCAAGGGATGATGGAAGGAAACAGGATGAGCAGGCAGAGACTGGGGAAAAGGCAGGCTGCCCAAAAAGCCAGCTGCTTGCCCAACTAGAGAGCAGGCAGGAAGATATTGCAAGGGAGGACGCTTGCTTTTACCCCCCCTCCCCTCCCCGGCTTGTGGGGATGACACGGAGGTGATGCCGAGTGCTCCTGTCCCCCAGGAGAAACACCAGCATGCACTAGGAAGGGAACTCGAGCACGTTATTAAGCTTTGTTGTATGGAAAGTTACTCAAGGAGGCTCAGGGTTTGCCAGCACATGAAAATAATCATTCTGCTGCAGGCAGATGGTGAGCTCACTGGGAGCCACACTGCACCGGGCACTGCCTGCTCCTCATCAGGCCAGGAGGCCAAAGCTTTCATCTTCCTGGGAGGAAGAGGATGCTGAGGAGCCTCCCCTCCCGGGCAGGGGAAGGTCAGGGCTTAGCCAGCACACGCTTTCCTCTTTTCACACCACAACAAATAAAGATGACACAAGGGGAAGGGAGCTGGCAGGTGCCCAGCACAGGCTGCCCTGCCCTCTCATCACGGGGACGCCGCCCTGGTAATGATAGGCTGCAGGCAGGAGGCTAGGCTGGCCCACAGGGTGACCTTGGTGGCCACAGAGGGACCAGGGACCAGCCTGGGCACTGGCCTCGCAGAAAACCCCCAAAGGATACAATTTCTGGATGAGGTCATAGGCATGCTTATAGTTCTGGGTAAGGAAGCAGAGGGACACGGTTGTCACAGGGTTGTGACACCAGGACCGGTACAGGCAGCAGAAGAGGTTACGGCTTTCCTGGGGAAAGAGGGAACCATCAGGGTCGGGTCACCAGTGGGAGCAACGATGTGGCACTGAGAGCCCCAGGTCCCTGACAGCAACCCACTGGGCTGGCAAGTGCCACCGAGACATGAAGGGACATCTGTGGACACACCAAGTCAGCCTGGCTCTGACGTGAGCCCACCAGCCTTGGGAGATGGCGACCAGGCGGGTTTTGAGGTGGCCCTCAGGGCTGCTGCTTCCACCACAGGACAAGGGGCTGGAGGATGGTGGCTGTCCCACCCAAGGGGACACCACTGCATCGCTGGCCTTCAGCATGAGGAGTCTTCCTCCCTCTCCCTGCCTTGCTTGGATGCTTCTGGTGCTGGTGGCAGCTGCTCGGCAAACTCCATGGGTGCGTTCCCGGCAGGGACAGCTGAGGGACCAGGGGGCTCTGCTCCTGCTGTCACCTGTCCCCAGGCCCATGTCAGGGTGGAGGGAGGGAGGCAGCAGCTGCTCGAGGGCTCAGGGAGCCCGTTCCCATCCGCAGGAAGAAAAGCAAGAGTTGGGCATGTCCTCCAACTCCTGAAGAGTGGAGGAATGAAGGGGCTGCCCTGGGTGCCCCAGCTCCAGCCCTGGGACCTGAGCAACAAGACACAGCGGCAGGTGGCTGCCCTGGTTCCTGCCACTCCCATTATGACCCCCTGCCCTGCAGCTGAGCCTGCTCCCGCTGCCCATACCGGGGTCTTCAGGTCCTTCAGTTGGTTCCTTAGCTGGAAGAGCTCGGAGGATGTCAGCAGGATGGTGTTCAGCGTGTGGACCATGGTGGAGGCAAACTTGAGGTCCTCTTCCCGAAGCAGTATGTCTGCCATGGAGTGGAAGATGTTTTCTGCGTTCAGGAGTAGACAAAGCTGCCTGTGTATCACAGAGGAGAGAAACCAGGGCAGAAGGATGGTTAATGAGCGCAGTCAAGACCCCGACCTGAGCCTGTGCATCACTCCCTTCCTCCGGAGAGGACCAGGGATGAGAGACATGACTGCACCGGAGGCTGGGCGAGTACCATGGCACCAGAAGGGAGATGTTGTGGGGCAATACCAGGCACTGTATTTGTAGGGTGTGGCTATTCGCACCAGGGCAAGGCCAAAACAATAGCTGTGCTCCTTGCCTGCTGCTAAGGGACCTCGCCGACACCCACCACTGCGGCTTGATCCCGCCTCAAGCCTCCTGGTGACCTCCCTCAGGAGATTTCAGCATCACTTTCCACCCTGACAACTGCAGGGAGCGTGCAGCAGCACAGTTACAGAGGGCATGTGATGGCCCAGTCAGACCAGTAGCCCTCCGACACCAGGGAACTGGTAGGGAGTAAGCATGGCCACCAGGACAAATCAATCCCTCCCAGTGCTGTGCAATCCGGGAACTCCTGAGCCAGAGGCTGACTTTCCCTCTATAACCCCCCTTTCTTCCAGTAACCTGCCCTGTTGCTCTTTGAACTCCTTAATGCTCTGGCTCCCATTAGAATCAGTGCCAAAGGGCTCTGGAGCTCCAGGTGGTGAAGCTGGATGCCTCTGCTCCGTTGGACACCCCACTGGCAGCACTCTCCCCAAAACACAGTGTAGCTGGCGCCGCGGCCCATGCTGATCTGCCTGGCTGGGCCCGACGGGTCACGTCAGGAATGTTCTGCTTAACAAACCTTGGGGCATTCTCAAGGTTTTCAACATTTTAGACCAGAAACCAAAAAACAGTTGGGTTTGTTTTTTTTTTTCCTTCGGTGTTTGTTTGGATTTGGGGATTTCCTGTTTTTCTCCAAGCTCCTGCCTTCTTGGGCGGTTTGTCTGAGGACACCTGAAACGCTGCCCAGTGCTGGCTCAGCTCGCCAGTGCTCACATCAGGGAGACCTGGGGGAGCCCACCCAGCTCCCCCGCATCTCCTGAAACTGGGATGCTCCCTGGGTCCCCACATCTCCCCCACAAGCTAACAGGGAACCTCATCACCAGGGGAGACGCTGGCATCCCCTAGAGCTCCTCTGCTTTCCCCAAACTCCTACCAAGCACCGTTCCCCACCAGACAATCTCAGCTGGAAACCAAATCCCCCCTCGGAGGTATCTCAGAAGGGTTTAGAAGCAAAACAAGGAGCACCCACTTTGGCGGCTGGGTGGGAGGCATTTGCTAGTTGCTCGGTTTGGCTGGGAGGTAGGAGGCACACCTGAACTCCCTCCCCGAGGTCATGTTTCACTTCCTGGGGTGAGGAAGAGGAAGGAGGTGAGTGTCCAGCACCTGTCTCCATGGGGAAGGACTGGTGGAAGACTATATGGCTATAGGAAGACACCAAAGACCATACCCTAAGGCTTCAGGAATTGGACTGGGAATGAAGAAATGGAATTTCCCTCCCAACACATGGAGGCAGAAAACCCTCATCTCCTTCCCAATTCTACCAAGCAACCCGTCCCCTCTTTGCCCAGCGCTGGCTCCTCTCCATCAACAACTCCTGCATCCCGCGTGGCCGCCGCCAGACAATGAGATGCTCTGTACGGGCTTTTACGTAACCCAACCCGGCAATCGCCCTGGACCCTGTTAAAATGGAACAGGCCGTGATAAATAAGCTCATTTATCCCAATTATTCTTACGTAACTGGCTGCATTCATGGGGATGAAAACGCTTCCCCGATTTCTCGTCGCTTGGACGCGGGCTGGCTGGAGGAGGGAGAACCATGGGAAAGCGAAGCATCGAGGGAGGGAAGGGGAAGGCAGAGGCTTTTAGTCCAGCCTGATGGAGCCAAAAGCAAATCAATAGCTCAGCATTGCAGGCAGGATCCGGTCATCACCAGCTGCAGCAAAGCAAGCCCAGCCTGGGCAGGTCCAATCCCAGCCCAGCCCAGGAGTGAGCTGGCTCCATGCTACCCTTCTCCAGTAAAAGGGGATAACTGGATGCCCCATCCTTGCTCAGCTTCCTCCAGCAGCTCTGCTGGGCACTTGGACTGTGAAGTGGGATGATTTACTGTGCCCAAAGAGAGGACGGGTCCTCCATGGACAAACACTGGGATAGTTTTACTCCTGACTGCAAAGTGCCCTGTGTGCTGGTACAGCTGGGGACAGGCTCTTCCGCTCGCGGCTGGCGGGGAGCTGGTGTTTTACACCTTCCAGGCAGAAAAGAGCTCAAAAAAGCTCATCCAAACCAAAAATGGTGCTGGCGAGCGTCGAGGGCAATTCAACAACCTCCGAAGCTGCCCTCATCCGCCCACAGCAAGGATGCCGGTCGGGTCCCCCCCTCCGCTGCTCCTCCATGGAAAAGGAGGGCTCTTGCTTTCCATAAATAGGAGCTCTGACATTTGGCTGGCTAACGCCGTGCTCCCAGTGAGCGGGGGGCTGAACGCGAGCCGCTTTCTAATTTCAGGCCTGGTTTTGATTAGCGGGGAAGGGTTGGGTTTGTTCCCCCTCCTTTCGGTGGCACTGGGAAACTGGAAACCCTCTGGGTATTAAAGGAGCAGCTGCGCAGAGTCTGTCCCCCAGCTCTGAAGTTGCGTCACCCCCCGGGGATGCTGCCCCATCAGGGTGCCCACCCCTCTAGCTGCCCCCACGTAGGGGCTCTCTGGGAACCACTAGCAGAATGAGTTTGCTAGTGCTCAACAGTTTGCCCTGATGGATCCGGAGACCCCAAACTCCCACTCCGAAGCCCAAAAGTGCTCCCGAAAGGAGGGGACAATTGGCCAGCTGCACAGCTGCCAGCCTCTGTGACAGCAGCCAGCAGCTGAGCCCAACTGCCAGCACCAGGCGGCTGCCAGTGGGACGGGAGGCGTCCCTCAGAGTCGATCCCCTGGGAGGCTTTGATGGCATGAGGGGAACGCGAGGCTGGCTGGGAGGAGGCAGCGGATGGGGCTGCACAGGGGACAGGTGGCTTCAAACTAAACAGGCAGCAGCCGGGATGCCGGAGGGGTGGCTGCAGAAGGGGACGGGGCAGAGGGGACAGGGAGTGGGAGCCATACCCCTTATATGTACACCCCAGACACACACACCCCATAAATATATATCCCCCACATATATACATCCCATAAATATGTGTGTGTGTGTATATATATATACACACACCCCTTAAATATATATATCCCCCAAATATATACACCCCCATAAATATGAATATATACACCCCAGCTGTAGGACATAAAACCACAGTTATTAACAGGGCTGGCTGCAGCTCCCCCATCCATCCACGTGCCTGTGCTTTGACATGCCGATGGAAGGAGCAGGCTAATCCCCCCCGAAGCATCATCCCAGGGAGATGCCTCTCCCTGGGGCTCTCCCTGCATCCCTGTGGATGACATGCCCATCCCCTTGCCCGTGGGGACCTGGCGAGTCCCCGAGGACATCCTGGTGTGGGAGAGGAGGGGAAGAAGAAGCGTCCCCAGGGAGGCAGCAGCCACAGAGCATCACCACACTGCTCCGCATCGCCGAGATGTTAGGCAACCATCAGTGCAGGCACATGGCGGTGATAATGAAGTGTGGTATTTAGGCCATTAAAATTTAACTCCTTAAATTAAAAGCGTTATTCAAGCCTTTCCAACGGAGCCAGGGAACGTGGTTGTGGGCAGATAGAAGGCAGCGCCTGCCTGCAGCAAGGCGATGGGGGACACCCCCTGCCCATTGCCTCGGTTGGGGACGAGCCGCAGTGAGGCTCCCACGGGACCCTGCGGGTCACCTCCAGCCCCTGCTGTGGGGACAGGACCCTGTCCTCCTCACAGGACCCCTCAGCAAGATGATGCTGGCCAAGGGAAGAGCTGTGGAGGTCACCACAAGCTTTGCATCTCTGTGCCACCCTGGGGTCTCCCTGCATCCCTGAGCTGTGCCCCAGCTGCACCCCATTAAGCATCACAGCCCCCCCTGCCCCCAATCCAGCAGCCACCGAGTCGCCAGTGCAGCAATGTCAATCACAACAAATTCCCATCACACCAATGACTGGCGGGGTGGGATGGGGTGGCTGCACAGGGGGACAAGCCAAAAGAAGAAAGCAGAGAGCTGCTGCGGGGCGGCGAGCCAGAGCCCAGGGGATGTCAGAGCGATGGGGCAGCTTCAGAGCCACATCTCCAATTAAGGGCAAGCCCCAGCATCCCTCCCAGCCCTCTTGCTTTGACAGCTCGATGCCTGGAAACCCAGCTAATCTAAACATCATCCAAACATCATCGCTGGGAGCTCCCCTCCCACCCGCTCACCCCTTTAACCGCTTCAGCCCTGTCCCCTGCCCCGAGCCACCATGCAGAAACGAGGTGGCAGAGGGTTGGGGCAGCCTTGATGCTTGCTCAAAGGGGCTGAAAGTCTGGGTTTCCATAATAATTAAAAAAAAAAAAAAAGATGAAATCCAGCTCCACCGTGGATGGAGACATTGTCCCCTCTGTTGGGACCTGCAGTGAGCCTTGGGGGGATGGAGCGCTGCTGGCCCCCTCCCGTCACCCAGCCATGCTGAGCACCATCCCGCTGTGTTCAATTAAGCAGGTGCTTCTTCATTAAGCACCAGTGATTTGCTTTATTAGCTCTGGGCAGACACGGGGCCCCAGCAGGGAGAGGATCGTGTCTCGTTCCACTTCCAGCAACTGGGACACAGACAGAGCTGGGGAAGGAGCCGGTTGAGGCTGGGGGGAGCAATGCTCCAAGGGGCTCTGCCCCACTTTTTGGCTCATGGGGACAAACCACTGCCACTTTCACAGCTGTGAGGAGGGCACAGGCCCTCCGTCCTTCCTCCCCACCCTCCTCTTCCTCTGCTCCCTTCCTCTCCCCTCCCCAAGGCTTTCCACCACCCTTCCTCCCCACTCCGGGCTCCCTGCAAGATGCCCTGGCTTGACCCACCTGCCTGGGGGACCTACAGCCCCGACAATGCCCATCCCCATCCCCCTGAAATCCTCCTGCCTAGAAAAGCAGCATCCCCAGACC